CTGTGTCTTTTATCAGGGCATTTAGCCCATTTACATTTAAGGTTAATATTGTTATGTGTAAATTGCGTCCTGCCATCATGATGCTATCTGGTTATTTTGCACCCTTGTTGATGCAGTTTCTTCATAGTGTCATTGGTCTTTATATATTGGTTTGTTTTTGCAGTGACTGGTACTGGTTTTTTCCTTTACATATTTAGTGCTTCATTTAGGAGCTCTTGGAAGGCAGGCTGGTGATGACAAAATCTCTCAGCATTTGCTTGTCTGGAAATGATTTTATTTCTCCTTCATTTATGAAGCTTAGTTTGACTGGATTTGAAATTCTGGGTTTAAAACTATTTTCTTTAGGAATGTTGAATATTGACCCCCATTCTCTTCTGGCTTGTAGGGTTTTTGCTGAGAGGTCCACTCTTAGTCTGATTGTAGTCCCTTTGTAGGTGACCTGGCCTTTCTCTCTGGCTGCCCTTAACATTTTTTCCTTCATTTTGACCTTGGGGAATCTGATGATTATGTGTCTTGGGGTTGATCTTCTCGTAGATTATCTTAGTGGAGTTCTCTGTATTTTCTGAATTCGAATGTTGGCCTGTCTTGCTAGGTTGGGGAAGTTTTCCTGGATGATATCCTGAAGTGTGTTTTCCAACTTGGTTTCATTTTCCCCATCTCTTTCAGGTACTTCAATCAGTTATATGTTCGGTCTTTTTACATAGTCCCATATTTCCCAGAGGTTTTGTTCATTCCTTTTCATTCCTTTTTCTCCAATCTTGTCTGCATGCTTTTTTCAGCAAGATGGTCTTCAAACTCTGATATCCTTTCTTCTACTTGGTTGATGTGGCTATTGATGCTTGTGTATGCTTCACAACGTTCTCATGCTGTGTTTTTCAGCTCCTTCAAGTTATTTATGTTCCTCTCTAAACTGCTTATTGTAGTTAGCAGCTCCTGTACCCTTTAATTAAGATTCTTAGCTTCTTTGCACTGGATTAGAACATGCTCCTTGAGCTCAGCAGAGTTTGTTATTATCCACCTTCTGAAGCCTACTTCTGTCAATTCATCCATCTCATCCTCTGTCCAGTTCTGTGCCCATTTAGAGGAGAAGAGGCGCTCTGGCCTTTTCAGTTTTCAGTGGTTTTTTTTTTTTTTTTCCCGCTGATTCTTTCTCATCTTCATGAGTTTGTCTACTATCGATCTTTGATGGGGTTTTTGTAGGGACTTTTTTTTTTTTTACCTAAATATTTCACAAAATCTTTAATTATTATTTGTTACTTTTAAAAAATTGAAATTCTTTGTCAACTAATATATGAGGTTTTTTTTATTATTATTATACTTTAAGTTCTAGGGTACATGTGGATAACGTGCAGGTTTATTACATATGTATACCTGTGCCATGTTGGCGTGCTGCACCCATCAACTTGTCAGCACCCATCAACTCGTTATTTACATCAGGTATACATTTTTTTTGTTGTTGATGCTATTGTTTTTGCTGTTTGTTTTTCTTGCAGTGGTCAGGTCCCTCTTCTGTAGGGCCACTGCGGTTCACTGGGGGTTCAGTTCAGGCCCTATTCATCTGGTTCACTCCCATGCCTGGAGATGTCACTTGAGGAAGCTGGAGAACAGCAAAGATGGGTGCCTGCTTCTTCCTCTGGGATCTCTGACCTCAAAGGGCACTGACCTGATGCCAATAGAAACACTCCTCTATAGGGTGTCTGACAACCCTGTTGAAGGGTCTCACCCCAGTGGGTGTCAGGGAGAGCACAACCTGTTTAATGAAGCACTTTGACTGAGGGGATGTGCTTCACTTGGGGGAAACCCACTTGTCTGGGCTGCCTGGATTCCCCAAACTAGCAGGAGGAAAGACTAAGTCTGCTGGTCTGCAGAGACTGTGGCCATCCCTCTTGCTAGGGACTCAGGCCCAGGGAGATCAGAGTTCTGTCCCTGACTCCCTGGCTAAAGTTGTTGGAGTTCCTGCAGAGAGGCCCCACACAGTGAGGAGGGATGAGTCAAGGTCAGGCCTGAAGAGGCACTCCATCAGCAGTCTGCCACAGCCCCTGTGTTGGGCTGCGGTGGATACCTCTTGAGACTAAGCCGTCCATCATCCCTGGCTCCGGCAGGGGAAAAGCACAGCCTGGAGCTATAGAGATGGCTGCTGCCCTTCCCCAACCCTGGGAGCTTAGTGTGTTAGGCAGCTATGGGTCCCCGAATTGGCTGTCACCCCTCCCCTAAGGAGCTCAAACAGCTTAGACAGCAGGGAGCCACAGCTGTGGTGCTGGTCACCCCTCCTCCTGGGAGCTCAGCAGGCTTAAGCAGATACTAGCTTAGTGGCTGTTGAGAATCTATGCAGCTCCATGGTTGGGACCCTCGCCCCAGTAGTGTGGACTCATAAGTGGGATCTTCCAATCCATGGGTTACACAGTTCCATGAAAAAAGCACGTTTTCCCAGGCTGGGTAGCACACTCACTGACTGCCTTTCCTGGCTCAGGATGGGGGCTCCCCTGCCCTGTGTGGCTCTCAAGTGGGCTACAGCACCACACTGCTCTTCCTTCCTCTCTGTGGGTCACGCCAACTGCCTAGTCAGTTCTGATGACAGAACCTGAATACCTTGGTTGCTGGTGCAGGATTGGCTCGCTGTTATCGTTTTTTTGTTGTTGTTTTTTTGTTTTTTTGGTTTTTTTGATGGGAGCCTCTGATCACCTCTGCTTTTAGTTGGCTATCTTGGCCCCATCCTTATATAAAATATTTCTATTTCAGAGATTTTAGAAATTATTTTGGAGGAGTAAATTCCACGTAAACTTTTGTTTTTACATTTCTTTCTTTGAAATGACACTTGTGTCTAAGATTATCTAGGTTTTTTAATTTTTTGAATATCTGAGAAGGAGGTACAAAATTTCATCTCTTCCTCTTCATTCTTGGGCCATCCTACTTCTAAGATTATTATCAGATCTTCCCTGCTTAGAGCAGCATAGATGGCAGGGATAATATTTTGAATATTAATCTGTTTTCTTTCTCCTTGTATTTTCCCATTTTCCTTCTATCCATTCAAGAGCTGGTCGTGTGCCTGTTGACAGGGTAGCGCATGACAGGAGGAAAGGCAAATACTGCACAAATCTTTCTGGCTTTTGAATTCCAGAAGAGGAATTTTAGAGGCATAGGTCCAGAAATAGTGAAGAGAGTAGAGCTACTCTCCCAAACTCAAAAGAGATTGTCCTGGGCTGGGGAAAGGAGATGAGGTAAAGAGAAAGAGAAATCCGTTGGCTTCAAAAGCAGAGGATATCTGTGCCATGCTTCCCAATGACTGCTGCTAGGAGGGTTGGCATGACTCCATCAAAAATTGGCTATTTGGAGTGTTAGAAGATGTACTTCTGTAGCCAGTAGGGAAGCTGGTAATCTCTATAATGGAATTGACAATATCCACCTTACCAAGCAGGCATTTTTAAGAATTATAAGAAATAACATGTGAATGGCTGGCACTCAGTAGGTACTCAGTAAATGTTACATTACCTCCAGCCCACATTGACATTTTGGCCCTGCTCATCAAACCAGTTCTATTCCTTGATCATTCCCATGTGCCATTTTCTACTTTCTTGCTTGAGGACTGCTGAATGGTACTGGAGAAAGAAAGGCAAAACCATTCAGACAAAGGCTAAGCCATGGCTTCTGTGGCCTCCTCCTCATCCTCCATCCTTGTCCTCCTTCTCCTCCTCCTCTTCCTTCTCTTTTTCTTCCCCCCTTTTCACACTCATTGTGTCCTTCCCCTTCTTCTTTTCCTCTCCTTTTATAAACTTCACTTTAATGCTAACCGACAGTCGTGGCATCCAGCCCTATGTTTCTGTTATGTACTCCTCTAGAGAGTCTCAATTCTCTTCTGCTCTCACAGCAAATCAGAGCCTCTGTTTAGGCCACACACAGCAACCCACAGAGCATGAGCAACATGCATCTGCCTTGCAATATTATGCTGGGGTAAAGTAGAGATAGGGCCTTCTAGACAAAACACCATCTTTCTCCCTGGAGGAAGAATTCTTCAGTTAAGAAGTACTATTAAAGATTGCTTCTCCCTCTGAAGAAAAGTTCCCCACCAGGGTCTCCAAATAAAAGAAATATCTTAAAGAGCTGAGATATTCCTTTTGGTAACTACAAGTTGACTCCCTCAACTCGTGGTTATAACCATGATAGCACATGGCCTGAGAACATGTGGATAGGGAGAAGGAGGTAGGTAGATAATTGAGTTATTCACAGACATGCAATTTATGAGAGACCCTGTGTCATCTTTGGGCCCCCAGATGCATCTTCATGTTCTATTGATTTTCCTGGAACCTCCAGAAACACAGAAGGTGGGGAACTGCTAGCAAGGCTTTGATGTGTGCTTAACTGCACGGAACCAAGTCTGGTTTACCTTTTGAGCTGAGCATGATTATCAGATAATACTCAGTTCACTACTTAGCTGCTCCAAAAGTAGATAGATTTCTCTTTGTGGTGCTCAACTTTCTACACTTAGACAGGTGTGGCAGCCCCTCATTGGGGCATATTTGATGGTGCTTTTTACTTGTATAAATAATTGGGTTTTCTCATGCTCGTTCTAGGAAAGCCTGAAGTTTTTCAAAGGCATCTTTTGTGCTGTTATCCTTGGGAAATATTACTGTTTGTTTCCTATCAGAGATTGGAGTCCTTAGAGAATAGGAAATGGGATAGACAAGTTTTGGTTATGAGGAAATTGATGTGGGAGCCATCAGGCATGGGCTTGGGAAGACAGATGTAGATAGAACGCCTTATTGCGATTTTGATTTCCAGATGGTGAGGGATGTGTGGGGAGCTGGAAGTATGGTTACTTTCACTTTCTGTATAGTTCGACCTCCGATAGCTGTGTCTAGGCCATGACTGTGGCTGTGGAGGATCCTCCCAGAAAGCATACCTGCTTATGGATTGGTCTAATCTGTCTCAGTTCATTTCCTTTTGATTTGGGGGATGTGGTTTGATCTATGTTGTAATATCTTTTTTCTTTCTATTCCTTACAGATTCATGAAGGTGGCAGGAAGTACAGTAGATGCAGTTACCTGGCAACAGTAGGTATTCACCATTTTTGCTCTTACTTATTATCAGCTGCTGTGAAATGAAAGATAATTAGTTGTCACCAAGTTCATAACTGACATTCAATAAGCTATCCTTCATCCTCCAGGAAAAAATTTAAAAGTAACTCCAAAGTTGTTTTTATGGCACCTGTTGTCTCGTAGTACTATAATTTTGTTTGGTTGTTTTCAGAAAAATTTGAGAAAACAACTGACGCATTTTGGAGATTTCAGCTATTATGTACCGTTTTAAAATAATCTGTTATCAGTGAATACGTAATGGGGATCTGGGCATGCCACTGTTTTCCCATAGGCTTTTCCTTTGGGAATAAATTTCCTTGTATAAGACAGGAAATAATTTTAATTGCTCAATATATAATGGGGAAATAGAAACACTTTGTTATTAATGTCAGTGGTCTTAATTATTGCCAAGTGAGTCTCTAAAATGAAGCAGCTTTTTTTAAAAAAAAAAAAAAAAAAAAAAAAAAAGAATATCAAGATGAAGCAGCTTCAAGAAAGGGAATGAACTCCAACACTGCAGGAAGAATCTTACAATGGAAAAGACCTGTTACTGCAGGATAATGAAAAATACAGTTATCTGATAAATAAATTTAAATATTCTATAAGTTCCCTTAGGGCATTTGTACCAGAAGGTCCAACCCTTAACAGTCAATGTCTCACTAATTGTATACTGGAATCCTGTTCTTCTTTTCTCTGAGGAATCTATTTCACAGTATCCTCCAAATCATCTCTTGTCTAATGTGGTGCTCTCAACTCAGACTGTGCTTTTACTCTGGGCCCACATAGGCCTTGGCCTCTTTCTCAGTTACTCTAACCCTTCCTGCCTAGCATGTGTTCTCCTTTTGTCTATCCTCTGTTTGAAGGGGGTCACACTGTCCCCTGTGGATTCATTACAGATGTGAAAGAAAACGAAGTGGATTAAATCTTTATTAAAGATTGCTTCTCTCTCTGAAGAAAAGTTCCCCACCTAAAGTGTTTTTGTTTGCTGGCAATCAATAACTTCAATCATAATGGGAAATATTTTAGTCTACATTTATACTCTTAATTTCTCTAAAAAACAAGTTCCAAATGTTTTCAGAAGCTCTTATTCTTCTTCAGTTTGTTTTTGTGAGTCATGGATTGAGTAAGCCTGAGGATCGTGTCATTCCCTTGCTTGAAAACCCACAGTGTCTCTCCTTTGCACTTGGACCAAAAGCCAAACTCTCCACACTGGCCTTTTGTGTTTGGCCTCTGCTACTTTCTGATTTCATGTGGTGCCACTCTGCCCTTATTCTGTCCCAGCTCACCAGTGGTCTTTCAATTCTTTCAGGTCCATGTGCGTATCTGCCTCTGGGTCTCTGTATATGCTAGTCCTTCTGCCTGAAATGCTGTTCTCCATACTCTTCGTGTGACCAGCTCCTTTTCATCTTTTAAGTCTCACCTTACATGTCATTTCCTAGAGAGGCCTTCCCTGATGATCCTATCCAAAACAGGCCTCCCATTTCATTCTTTTTCTTAGCTCTTTTTTAATAGCACTTATGATAACTTAAAATTGCTTTTTTCCTTATGACTTGTCTTTGTAATTTATTTGTTTTTCTCTTCTACCATAATGGCACTTATTCAATTACCAAGTACTTATTTAGACAATAGTTTATTAGTCATTTACTCTGGGGAAAAAATAACAATGGCAACAACAGCAACAATAAAAATAACAAGGTGCCAGGAACTGTTCTTAAACTTTGTATGCCTTATTATATCTGATCCTCACAACAACCAAATGAGTTAGGGACTATTTTTATCTCTATTTTACTATAACTTAGATGAAATTGTAGAAAATCCAAAGATTACACAGAAAGTGGAAAATGTTGGACTTAAAGTTGTATCTGTCTCACTCCAAGGGTTATTGTCTTAACTACTACTGCTTTGATAACAAGATAATGTCCCTTTACTGAAATTCTGTCCAGTGTCCTCACCAAAAAGGCTATCTGGATAATGTAGCATAAAGGCTGAATCTTGAAGAATTTATAGGATTTGTGGAGAAAGATAATGATATCAGCATAAGAAAATTATTGGCTAAGAATGTATGGCTTTAATTATTATTGCTGACAGGGAGGGATAAGAGAAAGCTTTTATTTTCTATTCAAGTACTCTTCCTGACACAAATGGAATGAAGTGAGCACAGTATTATTTTTATGATGCAAAAATACATTTTTAATAAATACATTTTATTTATTGACTACCTAAAAAATACACACACACACACACACACACACACACACACACATATATATATGGGCCATGTCTCCAGATAAATATCACTGTTTGCAACTACTCCAAAAATACCCTCAAAAGCAAGCAGGGGATTGTATTTCTTTTGGCTCCAGGATCAGCATTCATTAGAGGACAAATAGCACCTGGAATCTACAATTTATCCTTTCCAGCCATAGTTTTCAGTCAAGACTTGGAAAAGTCATGGAAGAATCCCAAGCAATTCTGGCCAGGAGGACTTCATGAAAATTAAAGCCAAATGCCATGTTTCTTCAATTATGAGAAATACTTAGGTGAAGATGTCCTAATAATGTAAAAAAATCAAGAGACATTGTTAGAAAAAAAAGGGTGGGGGAGACTAACATAGAATTTGTCATTTGTCACTATATGTAGATGGCCAGAAGAATCAATTCAGTATTGGGATGTTGAGCTTGGAACTTGAACAGCCCAAATTCTGAGTCTGAAGTCATGAATAAACAGATCTCTGTAGTTTGACTATTTTGATTTGGAAGCATATTACTGTGTTTACTATATTTTGAGGACCAAAATATATGACTTAATAATTGGTCCTGCCCACCAACCCATTTAGAAAACCCAGAAAAAGTTATTAAGATGAAAGTATAATTACAAGTATAGTGGAGTAGCTTGTATCATAATAACCCTTATATAGAGAGCAATGATAAAATATAAAGTATTAAAGAAAAAATGCTGGAATATGACAAAAAAGGCAGAAACCAAAGGAAGGTATTCAACCTTTAAAAGAAATGAAGAGTACTACATGAGATCTACTCTCACTTGATTTTTTAACTGTAGTAGTTGTTGTTGTTGTTGTTGTTATTATTATTATTATTATTATTGAGATGGAGTCTTGCTTAGTTGCCCAGGCTGGAGTGCAATGGCACGATCTCGGCTCACTGCAAGCTCCGCCTCCTAGGTTCACACCATTTTCCTGCCTCAGCCTTCTGAGTAGCTGGGACTACAGGAGCTCACCACCACACCAGGCTAATTTTTTGTATTTGTAGTAGAGACGGGGTTTCACCGTGTTCTCCAGGATGGTCTTGATCTCCTGACCTCGTGATCCACCTGCCTCGGCCTCCCAAAGTGCTGAGATTACAGGCGTGAGCCACCATGCCAGCCTTCACTGTAGTTATTTAACAATTCATGCATCAGGAGGTAACTAGAACTCAAACAGAAATGCATGCTCATATTGGCTTGAAGTGTCAAGGAGAAGGAGTCAGAGGCTGGAAATTGAGGGTGGAAATCTCAAAAAGAAGAAACTTCGATGTAAAAATACAAAATATGCATATAAACTTCTCTCAAATCTTTGATCCCTGAAATGTATATATTCATGAGACATTCCAAGGAACCTAGTGGAAAGAAACAGCTGGAAGTCTCAAAAAGTTGAACAGAGATTTCAGCTGCTGTTTGTCACATGAGAGACAGAGGTTGGAATTTGAATGTCACAAATTTAGAGGGACTTGATAAACACCTTGTTTTTATCCAGTGAAATCTAAAAATGTTATGCTTTAGGTGTAAAGTCTGTCTCAGGACTAAGGATTTGCTCTAAGACTCAAGTATAACCAAAACAGACTTGTCCAGAAAAAGCATAAACTGATGCCTTCACAAGAACAAGAAGATCAGTCATTCATTCAACTTCCTGCTAGATTCAAAATCAGCATTCTTCTGTCTCTATAGTGTATCATCCACATTTTGTTATATACAATAAAATAATTACCAGACATGCAAAGAAACAGGAAAATATGACCATGATGAGGAGGATAAGCAATAAATAGAAACCCTGAGATGACCCAGATATTAGAATTAGCTGACAAGGATTTTAAAGAAGCTATTATAATTCATATTATATATTCATCGAGTTCAGGGGAAAATGTCCATATTGAGAAATATTAGCCTGGAGAAATATCAGCAGTGCGATGGAAATTATAAAAAAGAGCCAAATGGAATTCTTGAGGTGAAAAGAAGAATATCTGAAATGGAAACTCATTGGATGGGCTTGACAAGAGACTGGAAACCACAGAAGAAAGAGTAAACTTGCATACTGAGCAATAGAAACTATACAACTTAAAGAACAGAAAGGAAAAAATCGTGGAAAAAAATGAACAAAGTTTCAGTGACCTCATTGCCAAAACCAAATAGCCTAACACATGCACAGAGTTCAGACGAATAGGAGAAAGAAAATGTGGCAGAAATTTTTTAAAAATCAAAGCTGAACTTCTCCCAATTTTGGTGGAAAATATTAATTTGCAAATTCAAGATGGAGAAATACAAAGAAAATTATATCAGGGCACATTGTACTCAAACTGCTGAGAACAAAAATAACTTAAAAATCTTTGAAGCATTCAGACAAAAATAACACTTCATATACAGGGAACAAAGACACAAATGATGGCTTATTTGACATCAGAAACAACGGAGGACAGGATACAACAGAACAATATTCTTAAAGTGATAAAGGAAAAAAAAGTAAAGCCAGAATTCTATATCCAGCAAAAATATTCTTCAAAAATGAAAGTTAAATAGACTTTTTTTATCAATGAAAACCGGTAGATTTGTGTTGCAAGAAATACTAAAGGAGACCAGGCACGGTGGCTCATGCCTGTAATCCCAACACTTTGGGAGGCTGAGACAGGTGGATCACCTGAGGTCAGGAGGTCAAGACCAGTCTGACAAACATGGTGAAACCCTAAATCTACTAAAAAATACAAATA